CCCCCCGCTCGTATCCTCAGCAGACCCCGTGCCGTGCAGCCTGTCCCGTACCCCGCTCGCCCCGGCCTGGCTTCTCCTGCGCTCCGGGTGCCCATCTCACCCCCCGCACTGCTGCCCTGACCCCAAAGCCCCAGGAGCGCCCCCCAAGCGGACAGTCTCCTAGAAAGCCATGGAGCAACCTGGGCACCAGGCACCCAGCCCCTCCCTGCTGCTGGAGCAGCCGGGTCCGTTCTTGCCGGGTACAGGGGGCCCTTCCCCGGCGGTGCCTGGGCTCTGCCCATCCTGCCGACTATGGGGGCACGTGGCTCTTGCTCCGTGCCCGTCTCCCGGCAGACACGAGCAGGGGGCAGCGTGTGCCAGAGCCTCCTAAGACAAGGCAGTACCGGGGCTCGACCGTGCCCCCCGGCACAGAGTCCCTGCCCCGTGGAGGCAGTGCTGGGGGTAGGGGCCACTGGGCTGTGACTGGCCCCAGGAGCCCGGCCCATACTTGGCCACGCCAGGCCCCAGCTGCCCGGCGGGGTGAGGCTGGGGCTATTCTCAGCGCTGTGAGGTCACTGCCCGGCTTAGGAGCCTGTTTCCATCCCAGTGGCGCGGGGCTGTGGGGGAGGGAGGGGAGGGCCACGCTTTTTCCCTGCAGCATCTACTTCCCATTTGGGCTCTGACTCACGGCCGGGGCCCCTGCAGCCAGCACGGCCGGAGCCGGGCGCCAGGGTCTTCTGGGCCCGGGGTCTGCCCTGCTCGGCCTCCCAGTGCCAGGCGTCGGACATGGCAGGAGACGACCAGCATGGGCTGGGGCCTTTCCACCTGCCTGAGGCTAGAAATGGCCTGGACCCAGCTCCTATGTTGGGAAGAGACCCGGGTGATTCATTGCTCCAGCCCCTTGGCCCAGAATGACCCTCGCCCGCGGGCACAGGCTGTGCTGCCTGGGCAGGGCAGGGCAGGGGGGTGCCCCCCAAATGCCCCAGCCTGCCGGGGTGTTGCAATCCCAGAAGCCACAGGCCGGAGGAGGCCCCAGCTCTTGCAAAAGAGCAGCACGGAGGCCGTTTCCTTCCCCGTGTGTCCTTCCTGGCTGAGGGAGGGGGGCCGTGGCCTGGCCGGCAAGGGAATGGGCTCCTGTCTCCTTGGCCAGACACTGGGCAGCTCCTCTGGCCCAGCTCGGCCCTGCCTGGGGCTTGCGGTGCCCCAAGCACTGGGCAGAGATTTGCTGGGGAAGTTTTACGCCCCGGTTCCCGCAGAGGGGAAGGTCCCTGGCTCTGCCGTACCCCGTGGAGCGATCAGCGCCACGCAGCACAGGTGCCGTGACCTGCCCCTGGCCCAGTGGGGGGGGACCCAGGAGTCTTGACCCCCAAACCCCTTGCTCTCACCAGCACACCCACCCCTTCCCCGCCCTGCCACCGCACCCAGCCGGCCTCGCACCCGAGCCTGGCCCATGTCCCCCCCGGGGCTTCCCTGGGCACGTCTGACTCACCATTTCCCCCTCCCATGCGGGCTCTCAGTAGCGCCTGTGGCTTTGCAATGGTGCGGGGATCCTGGCTGTGACAGGGACTCTCTGCTCCTCCTGGAAACCCCCAGGTGCCGGGGAGCAGGAGGGGACGGAGCCCAGCCGGGGCATCAGGGTTGTGGCCGGGCTGGCTCCGGGGCCGCTCAGCACCCACACTTCCTCTACCCCCTCTCCCGTTGCCCCGCATACTGCGCTGGCCTGTCTCCTGCGCGAACTCGCCCAGCGCCCACGGGGTTTGTCCCAGTGTCTCCCTGCCCCACGCCCGGGGCCTGCCCTGCTCCGACTTGGGCTGGGTTCCCCTCGGCTTTGCAGCCGCATCCTATCGTCCCGTGTCCCAACCTCCTGCCCGAACCCCGTGGCGTTTGCTGCAGCTCCAGTAGCGACCATGGAAGTGGGGGGGTCAGAAGAGGGGGTGGGAATGCAGGGATTGGGGTGGGGACCGAGAAGACCCATACGTCCCCCCAAAACTGGAGCATCTGGCTAATGACACGCAGCCACTGCACAGCATTATGGGAGCAGCAGGTCTGACACCACCTGCTCCTGCTTTACACCACCCGCCCCTTGGACTGTACCTCCGGGATGCACCACGGTCCATTTGGCGGGGAGAGGAAGCAGTCGATCGTGATCTGCTTGGGGATGCGGTGCATCAGGGGAGCTGTAGTCCTCGCAGGGAGCCCTGCTCATGGCGGGTGTGGGAGCGTGAGCTGCGGGCAGCGCTCCCCGCCTCCCCGCGGTCCAAGAGCGCGTTCAGTGAGACGCTTCCTCCAGGGGAAACCCCCGATCTCCTGGCTGACACGGGTCAGCACCACCCACGAGACCCCAGGGCCCTGCCCGCTCTGCAGAGACCAGTCTTTGCCTGGGCAGCTTGGGGCAGGGGGTAGCGATCGTCTTTGGGAGACTCCCCCTGCCCTCCTTGGGCCCCGCGCCCACATCCCCCAGGCCACTCATCGCCGCCCACCCACTTCTAGGGTCCGAGAAGGCAGTGTCCCGGGGTGGGAAACCAGGATCCCGAGTGCTTTTGATACTGCTCCAAAGATGGAGAGTGCTCAGGCCCCATCCCAGGATCGGGGCCCTCCCAGGGGCCTTGAAGACAGCCACCGAGTCCCCGCGCGTGGCAGGCAGCCCAGACGCCCTTGTCCCTGCACCAGGACCCCCCAGTAGTGGGGGAGCCGGGCGGGGGCTGCCCTCATCCCAGCTCCTGCCTGTACCCACACAGCGTGGCTCTGTGGGATCCTGGCCACTCAGCGCCACGTGAAGGGGCTGAGTCAGCAGTGCTCACGCCCGTCCGTGGCCGGCTGGTGACACGCAGCGTGTCCCAGCCTGGCGTGCTGGCACAGCGGCACACTCAGAGCCTAGGCATCCCCCGCACCGCCCCTGCCGGGGCTTGCCCAACTCTACTTGGAGCCGGCTCAAGAATGCAGGGACCTCGCCTGCCTGGCCAGGGGCAGGAGTGGGGTGCCCAGCCGGCTCCGGAGCAGCTGCTGCCAAGGCCAGGCCGATGTTGTAGTCAGGCAGGTTTGGGCACGGGAGGCTGGGAGTTGTGTGGGGGGGGAGCCCTGCCACCCACCGGGGCATGCTGGGCTGTGCCCCCCAGCACAGGGTGGCGAGAGGGAGCCTCCACCCCATCCTTCAATGACACCTGATGGGCACCAGCCTTAAGAGCACAAGGAGGCAAGGGCCCTGGCCTAACGAGGCCCTGGCCTAACGGGGCTGGTCACGTGGTGGGCAGGGTCTCCTTGAGCCCCTCCCCCTCAGGGATGCCACAACCTACATGCCATGTGCACATCCATATGTACACATGCACACACGAGTATACACCCCCCCACCCACAACATGTTCACACGCGTGCAGTTCCACATACACTTACGCCCAGTTGCACACCCATCACATGCATACATGCACACATGCCCATGGGTTCACACTCCCATGCCAAATCAGGCACGTACACGCCTGCTCCCACGTTGCCCCACATGCGTGCACACATGCTCAGGCTCCAGCCCGCAGTCCCCCGGGCCCCGCCAGCGGCGCGCGGTAAGTGGCGGTTCCTGTTTACGGGAACGGATCCTGCTGACTTTGTCACAATCCCTTCCTGCCCCCCCGGCTCGTCCGTCCTGGCCGTGCGCCGGTGACTCATGCCAGCGAGCAGGAAGGGGACAGAGGTGATGGTTGTCCCCGGCCTGGGCACTTGCCTCCCTCACCGCTGGGATGACACGGGCCTACGGCACCTGGGCTGCTTTGCTTGCAGAGGCCCCGGGACCCTGGGCACTGGGGAGGGGTCAGCTGCTGGCAGCCTGGGGGGCAACAGGTGGGTCCCAGCACCAGCGCAGGGATGGGGGTGGGCACCGGCAATCCCGGAAGGAGCCCAGAGCCGGCCCAGGTGCTGCTGGAGGCACTGCCCAGACACGGGTCAGCACCACCCACGAGCTGCCAGTGGCACTAGTAACACTTCGCCTCATCCTGCCTCCTCCCCATGGCGCCATTCTACCCCTTTCCACATCAAAGCCGGGCGTGGGACCCAGGAGTCCTGGGCCCTCCCTGCAACAACTCATCTGTCCAGTACCAAGTGCCCCCTCCCTGGGGAGGGTCAGGCTCATTACGCCCACGCTCCCAAGAGAGGGGGAAACTGAGGCGGGGGGGAGGGGAAGTGACTGCCCCAGGTCACGGGGTGAGTCAGGGGCAGGGCTGGGAACCGTCCTGGAATGCCAGCCCCGGCCCGGGGCCGCACCCACGCGCCCGCATTCCCCGAGCGCCAGACCCGCGCGTGTCACCTGGCGTCCACGGCGAGGGGAAACTGAGGCAGCGCCGGGGGAAGTGACTCACGCCGGCCGGGTGGACGGAGCGGATCATCACAGGCGCCCGTCACAACATGCAATTACTACGTAGCCCTGCACGGAGCTCGGCCGCCCTGGGCCCTCCCTGCCATTAGCCCTGTTCCCGGAGGCGTGGGCTTGCCCGGGGCACCTGGGCGCCTGCGTGAGAGCCCCAGGCACCCCCTGCCCTTTCCTGTGGGGCGATGCTTCCGGTAGCCCCCCTGCTCCCGGCCCAGCCCGCAGGAACCGCACCCATCCTGGTGCCAGAAGAGCAGGTCCCCCCCAAAGGCCTGGGGCCCGCGTGGATGGTGCCCGTCCTGCCTCGGCCCAGAGCTGGGTGCAGACAGGAGGCAGCGACAGTACCCAGGGGGGTCACCGATCATCAGAGCTACTGGTGCAAAACCAGGTGTGGAGCGAAGGCCATGCCCTGCCCCAAAGGACTGGAACTGCAGGGGGTAGGACCACGAGCCGCTGCGCCGGCCCTGTTCGTCTCCGTGCAGCACCCAGGACGCGCGGGACTGATATGTACTGAGGTAAGCAGCAAAATGAGGACGAGCCGGTGGTGCAGACCAGGACGGCATCGGTGGGAGCTGGCGTGGCCATGAGACGTGCTCACCCTCCAGCCTCAGGGCTCGCAGGGTGGGGTCCGGAAGGAACAAGTCCCAGGGAGCTCGGTCAGGGGGTCTCCACCGGGGCGGGAAGCATCATCCACACAGAGCAGGGGGGCTGAGCCCTGGTCTCCTGGGTCCCAGCCCGGTACCTGACCCTGCCTGCTCTCCCCAGGGCTGGGAGACCCATAGGCAGCAGCACTTGGGTGGGTCCTAGGACTGAGCCCCAAGGGCAAAGCCAGCTGCCCTTAGGCAGGTTGATCCTTGGGCTCACCTCTGCAGGAGCCCGCAGCGGAGTGGGAAACCCAGGATCCAGGGGAGACGAGCCCAGCGCACGGGGCTGGGCTGGGGGCCTCACGTGTCCCACAACCAGGGGTGTCTGCAAACTCCACCCCGTGCAAATGGACCGTGGCCTCTCGAGGCGCTGCGCCCAGCCCATGAGCCCCCACATGCCCCCGTGTCACCCCAGCGAGGGCAGGGCCTGGCCCGGCTGCCAGACAGGATGGGCGAGGGGAGGGGGCAAGGAGACAATGGGGGGGAAGCTGGGGGTGCAGCTCACGACACACCGATCCTGGCACACGCGGAAACCGCCCAGCCTGTGGGAGCTCCTCCCACCTGCAGGCACCCCCCCCATCCAGCCCCGGAGGACCCCCTGCCACCCACCCCCCAGGCTGCTGGGATCCGGGCTGGAGGTGGGTGGGCCTGTGGGTTCAAAGCACCTCCTTGCCCGGCCCTGCCAGCCGCCCGCCAGCACCCTGGGTGGCAGAAGCCGGAGCGGAGTCTCCGCCCCGCTCCAGGCAGGCGCACCCTGTTATTACGGCGCAGCACGCCCCGGCGCAGCTGCTGCACTTTGCCCAGGGAGAGGGGGCAGAGCATGGCGGGGCCCCCCCGGGGGGGGGGGGGGGGGGGGGGGTCGGACCCCCTCCCTGCTGCAAGCTAAACCCCTGCCCCTTGCACCCAGCCCTCTGCGCAAGGCAGTACGCACCCACCTGGGCACAGCACCCCCCTGGAAGTCCCCCCCACTCCCATGCCCACCCTAGTGACCCCCCCGACCAGTCTCCCATGCTCTTTTGCAACCTGCACGCCCAGCCAGCAGTGACGTGTGCACACATCTTAGCCACACACACGTGTTGCTGCAGCTACATGTACACAGCCCAGCTGCTCCGGGTGGGGGCAAGGGCCTGGGTCAGCACAACCCCCCGCTCCAGCTCCCCACGAGGGCAGCGGGTGCAGAAGACGCAGGGTAGGGTGGCTCTGACCTTAAGAGTCATACCAGGCCTCCAGCCCGTCTATTTATACCAGCCCAAAGTGCTGCGGTGCCAGGCTGCTCGGAGGCATCCACATGGCTTCCCCCCAGGCACGGAGGCAAACCCCCACCCCAGAGTCAGCTGCACCTGCCTCCCAGCCCAGGGAGCCCAGGCCTGCCCCGGCGTGGGAGGGAGCAGCCAGGGAGAACCTGGGAGGCTGCAGGGTAGGGCAAGGCCGTGCTGGGGCTGGGGTGGGAAGAGCTGGGCAGCCCCAGGCCACTGCAGGGCAAGGTGTGGGGTGCGGTGCAGGGAGGAGGCTGCCCCGGGGCGGCACGGGGCTGGGTGCCAGGATGCCGGGGCTCTACTCCACACAGCCCAGCTTGCTCCGTGCTCAAGCTGCTGCAGCTGGGGACGAGTCCGAGCCTCCCGGCTTTGCCAGGGGCAAAGTGGGGGGAGCACAGGCCCCATTGCACCATGAACTCCTGGAAGGAGCCCACGTATCCCCTCCACGTGACAAGCATGTGCATGCACGCCCATGCTGCCACTGCCTTCCCCGGCTTGCAGGGGGTGCAGGGCCCTCCGCTCCGTGCCCCCTTCCCCGAGTCCCTGCAGCTGCAACCTGGGGGCCGGGTGCACCCGGGGCACCCCAGCTCCCGCGGCGTGGCACCGCCAGTCGCCATGGCAACTGCCGGCCGCTCCGGCTGTGTTTTCTTAACCGGGGCCGCCGTGGGAACCTGGCCGGTTGCCACCTCATTCCGCGCAGGCCTGCCGGGGGAGCGGGTGCTCCAGCCCCGTCGGCCTCTGCTTCCTCCTCCCGGCTCCCACCCCGGGCCCGGGGGCCCAGCAGCCTCCTCCTGGCTTCGTTGGGGCCCCCTGTATAGCACCCCTGCACTCCCCCTCCGGGCAGCCACGCACCGCCCGGCTACCCACGCCTTGCCTGGCAAAGGCCATGCCATGCCGCCCCAAGCCACGGCATGAGACACCCAGATCCCACGGGCGGCAGCGACGGCTCCAGCCACCCCTGGATCTGCAGGCGGGCTGTGGGGAGCTGCAACAAGCCCTGGCGAGCCCAGGCCTGACTCCCCGCCAGCTCTTCTGGAGCCCCCCCTTGCTCCAGACCCCCTCCCATGCCAGCCTGGCACCAGCCCCTGCACGGCCGCCCAGCAGGAGCCCCCAGTGCTCGACCCCAAGCCCCTGCCCAGCCTCTTCCCAGCCCGGAGGCAGCACCCACGCCCATTGCATTCACCGCCCCTTGGCCAACGCGGTTGGCACCAGGCTTGGAGACTTTGCCTGCCTGGCCTCTCCCCAAGGAGTTGCCTCCTCTCTGCCCTCGCCCTGCGGCTTTGAAAGGCTGCGGCTCGGGTACCACCTGCAAGCCGGAGAGAAACACCCGTGGAAAAGTGGGGCCATGCCAGGCACTGGAAAGTCCGGGCAGGGCAGTGACAGCAGCAGGCAAGTTTTTCCACAGCAGGCGCCTCCGTTCCCAGGCGCCACGGCCTCGGGGTAGGTTACTGCTGCTCCGTGCCCGAGGGAGAGCACGTGGGCAGCACTTCTTGGAGCCATAGGAAAAAGGCGCAGGGGCCGGAACAATTAATGCACCAGCAATTAATGATTAAAAGACCCGAGGGCCCAGGGAATAGCAGGGTCACCACGCTCCAGCTGGAGCAGGAAGTGCGAGCACATGGCTTCAGACCCGCTGCAGGGCAGGGGTGCCGAGGACACGGATGGGGGCAGACGGGATGTCACCTGGCCCGGCTGGCCCTCAGGTAAAAGTGTCCAGAGAGACGCTCACCTGAGCCTGCTGCTTGCCTGTTTGGGGCGCAGCGGGTCACGCCCCCAGGAGGAAGCAGGGCTGCAGCCTGGACAGGACACACATGTGCAGGCGTGTACGGAGACAAAGCTACATCCCTCCCCCAGGCAGCACGGGTCACGCACATGGGGCCGTCGGCAGCCCCCCACGGCCCAGCTCCTCTCCTCTCTAACCCCGATACCCTGGCTTGAGAGTGCCCCGTCTTGCAACATGGCATAGCGCTGATCTGCAGCGTTCAGAGCGGGGACGGAGCTCTGCCCGAGTCCACCCAGCGTCCTGCGAAAGCTGCTGGCAGCCCTCGAAAGGCCGGCTCGCCTCCCCCGTCACTGGAGGAATCTGGGTGGAAGCGTCAGCGCTCTGCTCCCTCCGGCTTCACGGGAAGGGCACCAGGAGGCCGGGGGGAGCGGGAGCCCGGCTGGATCTTCCCCCTGACGTCAGTCATTCCCTGTGCGATGAGAAAAGACGCCAGCTCGGCTGCTACCAGAGCCACAGAGGCCTCCCTTCCCAGCCAGTCCCCCGCTCCTGCCCGTAGCCATCCATCAAGTCCCGACTGAAAGCCCTGCATGGAAATAACGCCGCGCAGGCCGGGCTCACGGCACATTCCTGCCTGAGCGCCCGCCCCCGCCGGCCTTGTTCCAGACCAGACCGCCCGGCCTGCCTCTGCCCCAGTCTTTCCCTCTCATGCCCCAGCACCCTGGCCTGGGGCTGCCGAAAGCCTGCCAGACAAACGCATCGCGAGCCAGCCCGTCGCACAGCCGCCTGCCTCTCTAAGGCTCGTCATCCCTGCACCCTGCAGCCGCTGCCCTCCCTGCTTCACAGATGGGGAAACTGAGGCACAGAGAAGGGATGGGACTGGGGTAGGAGCAACTTGCCTGCCCAGTGTGGCAGCTGCTAAGATACCCCACCTCTTCCCAGGGTTGTGCCAGAGGCAGAAAGAGAACCGAACCCTCTCCCACCCCAGATCCTACGGCCACTACAGACCGCAGCCACCGCGGCCCTAGCTCGGTGGACGCAGAAGCCCCTCCGAGGCAAGGATTCCTCGAGACCCTTCGCACACCAGCCAGCACGCTGACCTCCCCCGGGGCAGGCGCAAGTCGTCATCCCAGGTGCCCTCCAGCAGGACAGAGACAGGCTGTCCCCAGCTGCCGTGCCAGCCCGCATGACCCACCTTTGCCCCGTTTACCCGGCCCAGGAAGCCAAGAATAGACATGGGAAGCGCGGTCAGGTTTCCTGCTGTGTCCCCCCTCCCGGAGCAGCTCAGACTGGATCCCTGGAGCCCCAAGCCCTGCCTGGAGAGGGGTGGACCATCCCCGTGGCAGGCTAGCTTAGCCGGGACAATGGGGATGGACCTGCTTGGAGCAGGGGGTTGAACTGGGAAGCTTTTGAAGGCCCTGCCAGCCTTGCTGTCACTCTTCGGAGTCACCCAGCCCCCTGCGAGGGCCAGGTGCTCTGAGCAACCAGGCAGAGACTTTTAGCGGCAAAGGGACGGAGTGATCTTGGCTGCCACTAGGGCGAGCAGCTGGAGAGGGAGGGGGAAAGGATGCTGAATACCTGGAACAGCTGGCAGCAGGCACGGAGGGATATAGGATGCACCTCTCCAAGGGGGCACGCGGAGTCTCCGCAGCCCGAGGGACCCTTCTGGCTGGGACAAGGTGCCTTGCTCGGGGAGCAGGGGCAGGTCCTGTACTGCCTTCAGCTGGGGGCAGGCCGGTAAAGGTGGGGCCCAACAGGCTGCACCCCTGAGCAGCCCAGACCCCTCATTACAGGGCGCTTTTGGGAACTACAAGTCTCAGCATGCGTTGCCTCACACAAGGCCTGAGCAGAGCACCCCGATGCAGATGCAGCTCCTTACTCCCCCCCAGCACAGACATGCTTCCTCGCAGGCTGCCGGCACCCATCCCCTGCTCCAACCCTCCCCCTGGAGCTGGCGGGAACAGCCTGGGAGGACGCTGATGAAGATGCTTTCCCATCCTAAGAATAGCCGCTGGCCGCCTCCCCAGCCACGCCAACGCGCTTCCACCAGCTTCAAAAAAAAAAGGAGCCTCAGAGCCTTTCCTCGGGAAGGGAGGCTGGATGGGCATGAGCTGCAAGGAGCTGCTGGGCCGAAGGAGCGAGCGTCGCCCAAAGCGACTCAAAAAGCACCTGCCACAGCTCGGCTCGGCGGCTTTGCTCATGCCAAGAGTGACACCTGACCTCAGCAAGGGGAAGAGGAGCCACGCAGCAGGGGCACAGGAGCAGGGACATCCGCGCAGCTCCGTGACGAGTGCCAGGAGGCTTTTAATAAACACCAGAGCGAGAAATGCAACACCCCGGGCGCTATTTTGGATCGCTTGTCAGGAGGGGGAAGAGAAGAGGGAGAGGCAGCGCGGGGGTAGAGGAGGCGGCAGCCAACGTGACACCAGAGGTGGCAGCACTGGAAATAGCCACGTTGCGCTCGGGCTGCTTGGAACCAGCATCGCTGCCCTGCGGCGGGGGCAAAGCCCCGCTGGCTCAGCAGAACTGTGGGGCTCTTCGCCAGGCACTTACAACTGCAGGGGGAGGGGGAGCAGAGCAGGGTGTCCAGGCAGTGAAGGACAGGCACTGTCCCCTTGTGCCTCAGTTTGCCCAGCTGCACACCTCAACATTCACCAGTCTGGGGGAGGGTGGGGGGTTGCAAACTGGAGCTGGAGCCTTCCCCGCAAGGTGCCCCAGGCCCAGGATCCCACTGAGATCCCAGGGGCAGATGGTATTGTTGGAGAGATGCTTCACAAGCCCCTGGGAGCAGTTCCTTGAACAAGGCAGGGTGGGGGAGCGAGAATTAGTTAGGCCTTCCTGGAACCGATAAGCAGCTCTCACACCTACTCTCAGCAGGGTTGGGGGTGGGAAGGAGAGTACCGGAGAGGAAGACAGCACCTGCCCAGCCTCGCTGCCCACTGCACAGAGCTGCTTGATAATGATGAGCCACCAAAGCTGCTGGGGCCAAGGATCCCAGGCAGCATGAAGCCCACGAAGACACCTGCACATGCCCCCGACCCCCAAAGCAGGAGCTCCCTGTGCTGGGAAGAACAGCCTCCCTGCCTCAAGCCACTTCACCATCTCCAAGGAGCGGAGGCATGTTTGCCCCAGGCCCTACAGGATCTGGCAATGGGGTCGTAACACGCGGGGACAGCAGCGGCAGGGATGGGGTGGAGGCTAAAGCCTCTTATTTAGGCTCCAAAGACGTGAGCTCGTGTTGCCCCCCGGGCCTAAGCTGAAGGCAGACCCCAGCTCTACTTGGCATCAGGCTGGGACTTGCAGCTGAACGCAACACTGGCCGCATGCTCCCTTGTGCGCTGGGCTGAGCCACACACAGGCAACACTCTGACTAGCAGCAGGGAGCCCCAGGCTAGCCCAGGCCACGACCCCCCTACTCACACATACGCAGCAAGGGTGTACGAGCACTTCCCGGGGACAGCCTGGGCGCATGAGGGCACTTTGGCCCTAATTGCCCTGGAAGCCCATTGCCAGGGCGGGGGATGACTCAGGGCTAAAGCTGCTCCCTCAGCCTGTCAGCACCCACTGCAGATCTGTGCTAATCCTTCCGCTCGGGCGGATTATACCGGAGGCAGCAGCGGGTGCCACGGAAGTGGGGGAGCAGGGCAGGGGCCCCCCCGAAGTGAGCCGGCCACAGAGCCCTAAGGGAGCAGCACAGCCACCCCGTCCCCTTCTCTGGGGCAACTGCTCCCAGCTCCCCCCAGCCAGACCACCCCCATGCAGCCAGCTGCCGCCTGCCTCAGAAGAAGGCCACGCTCCACAAGCCGGGCTGAGGTTTGTCTTTTAATGGATCCAAGGGATTTCTCTGCCACCATCTCTATGCCGTCTGCAAGCTGGGATGCGTTGGCCTCCCTGTGGTCTCTGCAGCAATGGGATTCCTGCAACACATGCACACAACTGTCGGGGATCGAAGGGGCACAGCAGCCAACTTCAGGAGGCACAAAGTGGAGCTTTTTAGCTGCCGCTCTCACTGCCCACGGGCTTCAAAGGTGCCTCAGTGCCAGCGCGGGGACCATGCTCAGACTCGGAGCAGAGCAGAGGCCTGAAGTGAAGGGCAAAGGGGTCACTATGCTTCACCTGCCCGAGGGTGCAGACACAGGCCAGATGGCCCAGCCCAGCAAGGGCAATCATGGCCCAGTACAGCTGGGGTGGGGGATGGGACAGCGCGGAGCCCAGGAGACAAGAACCACTCGTTCCACAAAAGCAAATGGAACGGAGAAGGGCAGAGGCGCAGCTGTCCGTGTGTGGGTGCGATGTGCCCAGCCCCCTCCAAACAGCTAAACCTCACCCCCCCCAGGCTTGCTCTGCAGGAAGCCACCAGACCCCCTCTCCCCCCAACCAGGCCCATGAACACGGGGACAATCGAAGCGCGGCCTCCCAGTGCCAGAGCCCCAACGTGGCCGGGCATCAGCTGCTTTCGGTACCTGCCCAGGCCTGGGGCTAACCCCTCCCCACCCCGCCCCGCCCCAGCGCTGGGATCGCTGCGAGCTGGGAACAAGGGGCAATTTTCTTGCCGTTTCAAAGGTATCATTTTGGAACCAAAAGTTCTAGTTTTTTTGTACGTCTGTGCGTCTCAGACCAACGCGGCTACCGAGTACACCCCAGGAACAAGGCGGGCATTTGCAGGGTGCCGGGTGCTCTCAGGCACGGTCCGTGCACAACCCAGCGCGGCCGAGGATGCGAGGGGCACGCTCACCCCAATCACTCCAGGGCCTTGACGAGCGCCTCGTTGGCTTCCACTTTGATCTGGGCTTCTGCTTTCACCACCTC